GTGTGTGTGTGTGTGTGTGTGTGTGTGTGTGTGTGAGTGAGTGAGTGTGTGTGTGTGTGTGTATTAGTTAACTATATCAAGTGTAGGAATATACATATATGATGTTTCTGTTCAGATGCACACCACCATCCAATAATAAGAAATTAATACTTTTATTCATCGAGGACATATTAAATTGATAAAAAGTGTCAGTAAAGACATTTATAATGTTACAGTAGATTTCTATTTCAAATAAATGCTGTTCTTCTGAACTTTCTGTTCATCTGTGAATCCTGAACAATAAAATGTATCACAGTTTCCACAAAAATATGAATGTGTTCAACATTGATAATAATCAGAAATGTTTCTGGAGCAGCAGATCAGCATATTATACTGATTTCTGAAGATCATGTGACACTGAAGACTGGAGGAATGATGCTGAAAATACAGCTGCGCATCACAGAAATACATTACAGTTTAACAGAGATTCACAGAGACAACAGCTGTTTTACATTCTAATAATATTTCACTATTTTTACGGTATTTTTGATCAAATAAAGACAGCCTCGGTGAACTGAAGAGACTTCTTTCAAAACAAGGCCAAAAGAGATTGTAATATGAACAAACAAACAAACAAAAAGTATCCAAATCAAACATTTTTCTGTATTTTTTAAAGAAATAAATGCAGTCTTTGTGAGACTTCACTCTGGTAAATTTGACTAATAATTACAAAGAAACAGCAAGCGACACCTTGAGTTAAACATGAAACAGACTGAAATGGTATTTTCTTGTTAAACATGTTTACGTTTCTATAGGAATTGTATGTGATTGTAAAGTTACACACACATGTATGTAGCGTTATACTTTAGATGCCGTTAATATTTCCACATGCAAAAGTGTATTTAGACACTTTACCTGCAAATACGGTTTTTACAGATTTTTTTGGAATATGGGATTTGCTCAAAAATGTGATGTGTTTGATTTGTGACTTGCTGTGTGTGTTTCAGGTGTGTTATTCAGTTTGGAGGTCACATCTATGTTTTTCTGTCTGCGACGTTCGGTGCCTTCGTCTTCAGACTTCTGCCGGTGTGGAACAGACAGGAAGGTGCGTGTTTGTATGTGTATTGATAACGTGTGGAGCCACAACAGGCTGTGTGTTACAGCATTTTTAACACCAGCAAAGGCTCTTACTTGTCTGTACTTGTATGAAATGCGCAGTCGATGGTGATTTGAGTTATTCTCTCTCTCTCAGAGACGCTTATGGCTCTTTATGCAACGAAATACAGGTTGGACTTTCCTTTTGACCTGCAGGAGCTTCCCATCTTCGCTGCGATGGGGTCAGTATGACTGAGATGCTATTATAGTTTAATTCATATTTTAAATTTTTAAACAACATTTTCTGTTTTCATTTGAATTTTAGTTACATTTTGGTTCATTAAAAAAAGAAAAAAGTTATTAATAAATTAATACCTTTTATTAATTTTTATTTCAGTATTAATTATTTCAGTAATTTCAGTTAAACTAAATAAAAATGAGAAATTTTGCTTTGACAAGTAGCTGAAATAAAGCTCGATTAAGTTCTCTCTCTCTCTCTTTCTATATATATATATATATATGTAAATAAAATAAATATTTTTGGAGCATGTTTTACAAGAAAATGATATTTCATGTTTAATTAAATGTTTTACTTGCCATATCTTTGCATATATATTTGCTATATCAGGAATAGTAAAGAAGTGAAAGGAGCGTAGTAAAAAGTATTAAATTAAAAGATAACATATGTACACAGTTTAGAGGTGTGCAAGTCATATAAATAACAGCAGCACACAAAATATATACTTGCATGATAAGCAAAATTGCTATTAAGGCTTGCATGCATAGTATAGTAAAGTATAGTATAGTATGACTATAGTTTGTTTTGTGGCACTTTTTCAGATGTTTAGACTTTAGACTAAAACATTTCTCGGGAAAGCTCAACAGAGATACTTCTTTACAAGCCTCCGACTGTGGTATAATCACTGTAACGCGCAAGGTTTGTGGCTTTAACGCACAAACGTTTTCTTTCTGCAGGATAGTATGTGGCTTTGGCGGCGCCTTCTTTGTGTATTTGTATGGAAAGATTACTCTGTTTGTGAAGAAGCAGAAAGCCATGAACAGCTTCCTCATGAAGAAGTAAGTGATTCCTATGATAATGTAATTAGCTTTATTTGCTGTCTATGATGTCTTCTCTTAAATAACCAGTCAAACATGTCAGTGTTCATGCATCTAATCCTATTTGTTTTGTTTCTAGTTGTTTCTTGTATTCCGCTTTGGTCTCTGTGCTGATTTCAACACTCACTTTCCCTCCGGGCTTTGGGCAGTTCATGGCCGGACAGGTAACACACACACACACACACACACACACACACACACACACACACACTCTCTCTCTCTCTCTCTCTCCCTAAATACAGTAAATGCACAATTAGCAGTTAAATGAAACGTGAAATCCAAAGTCTTTCTAAAGTAATTGTTCACCCTTAAATTAAAATTAGCTGTAAAT